TTAATGTTAGACATAGACACCTATATGTATCGTAAATAAACTGATTTAAAAAAAATTGAGATTCTTCTCAATTGGATCTATATACTGAACTGGACGGTAGCGAAAGAATTATACAATAAAAATTTGACGTTCATAAGTGGCTAAAATGTCCTACATGAATGATTTTTGAAGTTGAATTTAAATATGTTATCTGTGGTACTAATAAAAGTTACTAGGAATAAATAAAGTTGAAGTGTCTGTATGTAGCTTCAATACATAAAGAACACTCGGTTGACTAATTTGTTACTTACATTTCAAATTTAAAACCGTAGCGAGTCACGTGATGTTGGTGACGTCACGATTATGTCGCCACCAATAGGAATAGAGATAAAGAGGCCGGGAACAAGGAGGGAGCGGGCTGCTCTCACTCTGTTCGAGGCGACCGAGACGACCAGACGTGAATGTACAGCGACGCAATTTATGTGGAGTGTAATTTGAAAAATGAATAAATTAAAAGTACTGCTGCATCGACGTATCATTTCTGAAACTTCCCAATAATCCATACTCACAAACTACTTACATTTCAAATTTGGAACCATAGTGAGTCACGTGATGTTGGTGACGTCACGAATTTATGTGGAGTGTTATTTGAAAAAGGAATAAAATAAATGTACTGCTGCATCGACGTATCATTTCTGAAACTTCCCATTTTTCCATACTCACAAACTACTTACATTTCAAATGTGGAACCATAGTGGGTCACGTGATGTTGGTGACGTCACGAGTATGCCGCCACCAATAGGAATAGAGATAAAGAACGGCCGGGAACAAGGAGGGAGCGGGCTGTTCTCACTCTGTTCGAGGCGACCGAGACGACCAGACGTGAATGTACAGCGACGCAATTTATGTGGAGTGTAATTTGAAAAATGAATAAATTAAAAGTACTGCTGCATCGACGTATCATTTCTGAAACTTCCCAATAATCCATACTCACAAACTACTTACATTTCAAATTTGGAACCATAGTGGGTCACGTGATGTTGGTGACGTCACGATTATGCCGCCACCAATAGGAATAGAGATAAAGAGGCCGGGAACAAGGAGGGAGCGGGCTGCTCTCACTCTGTTCGAGGCGACCGAGACGACCACACGTGAATGTACAGCGACGCAATTTATGTGGAGTGTAATTTGAAAAAGGAATAAACTAAATGTACTGCTGCATCGACGTAAGCGCGAGAGTGTAAACACGATACGTCCCATGCCATTGTCGCTGCCACTAGCGCTGCCCCTCGCTCCCTCGATTGTCGGTTTTTCGTGCGCGAGTCAAAGGACTGGCAGCGCGAGTGGCAGCGTGTTTTTACATTCAGTTTTCTCGCTCAGTTAATTCATTGCACTAAGCAGATATGCAGCAATTTCTATCATTTCTGAAACTTCCCAATAGTAGCCATTTACTAAGTAAATATAATAAATAATAAATGAAGAAAGAAAGAAAGAAAGAAAGAATAAAAACAAGACCGAATTTGCACAAGTGGTACAAGTTTTAAAGTAAATATTTTTAAAGTAAACACATGGAAGGCTATTCATCGTATATTTTATATAGAGTTTTACTTCCTGGAGTCGATAATTGTTATTTTACTAGCTGGTGCCGCGACTTCGTCCGCGTGGAATTTAACCTTAATAATCTAAAATAAAAGTTACTACTTAATAAGTTGTGTTTTCTATGTATATAATGTATGTATTTACGGGCTCTGCCTCGAGGGCCATTTATAAGCGAAGTCGAGGGCAGACATAGTGCTGTATATTCAGGTTTTACGATAGTTCCCTAAACTGCGATATGACGATACACGCCGGTCGTCAAAATACTTATAGCGCAGTTAATACCCATAAATATAACATACTAGCTGTGACCGCGACTTCGTCCGCGTGGAATAGTCACCTTAGATAGCATATCGTCATCAATTCAATTCAAAATATCTTTATTCATGTAGGTCTATTACAGACTCTTATGATATGTCAAATCTACCGTCAGTTCGGAATGATATCGAGATGAGAAGAACTGACAAGAAACATAGCTCGTATTTTTTTTAAATAATAGTGGAACATGTTTATGATAAATACAGTTATTAAAATTCAAATTTGGGAGAATAGAGTGACCACCAGCATATGCTATCGCAAAGAACAAAAAATTTAATCAGTGTTCATAACCTGAACAGACCAGTCCCCACAAGCAGCACCCGTTCACGAGTATGACGTATGAGCCAGCCATCATTGTACTCAAACATATTAGAGGGAGCACATCGACCCAGCCCACCACGCCGCCACAAGTTTGAACTTTATAGCGAGCATGACTGTTTCAAGTTACTCCACTACGTCAGTTATATTATTTACAGCATAGGCTGTACCGATCACAGTTTTCACCCATTACAATATTAAATTTTCGTAGCCCGGAAGACGTCCACTGCTGGACATAGGCCTCCCCCAAAGATCTCCACGACGATCGGTCCTGCGCTGCTCGCATCCAATGCCTTCCAGCGATCCTGACCAGATCGTCGGTCCACCTTGCTGGAGGCCTTCCCACGCTGCGTCTTTCGGTCCGTGGTCGCCACTCGAGGACTTTACTGCCCCAACGGCCATCTGTCCTACGAGCTACGTGCCCTGCCCATTGCCACTTAAAAGTCGCAATTCTTCGAGCTATGTCGGTCACTCTGGTTCTTCTGCGGATCTCCTCATTTCTGATTCGATCACGCAGAGTAACTCCGAGCATAGCCCTCTCCATTGCCCTCTGAGTGACTCTGAGCTTGTTGATGGGGCCTATAGTTAGCGACCACGTCTCTGTTCCGTAAGTCATCACTGGCAACACACATTGGTCGTAAACCTTCGTCTTGAGACATCTTACATCTCTCATCTAATTTGATTTAATGTTATATAAATATATTTATAAATTATTAGTTATCATTACCGCTTATATATTTTTTTATATTACTATGGTTGCAAATCTATACACCAAAATGTCAATTTTACAATTTTTGTGCGTCTGTCTGTTTGTTCCGGCTAATCTCTGAAATGGCTGGACCCATTTTGACGGGACTTTTTTTTAGCAGATAGCTAATGTAATAAGGAGTAACTTAGGCTGCTTTTATTTTAGAAAATAAAATAAAATTCCACGTGGACGAAGTCGCGGGAACAGCTAGTACATATATAAAATAACCTAGAAGTTTTGTATTAACATTTTTTTTCTCTATTTTTATAATTGCTCCATTAAAAGAATATCTTGTTAAAAGAAATAATAATTATAACGGAGAAAATATTTCTTGAAATATTTTTTTTTTAATTTATTTAATAAAGATAATTGTATAGTTGTTTTTATACATTGACTTGGCAAACTGTAAAACAGGTTGTTGGCAAGATATCGCTCAATTTTTTTTTCAATACTATTCTTCCCAAAAACTTGTATCCACATAAATACACGTTTTTACAGATAATTACATACAATTACAATTTTTGTTTTTAAAGTTTATCTAAAAATACTTAGGCTCGATAATTGCAGACAATGGAGAGGTGGAGACAGATGTGAGATGACAGTTAATGTGTCTTGGCAGAAGTGGAGATCACTAACCGGAGTCCTATGTGACCCTCGCATGCCTTTTTTTTTTTTTTTTAACGTGTGGAAAATCTTCAAAAGACCGTCACCTCGCCGGAGGGATGGCGAGGTGGTGTGTCTTCGCAAGTGCATTCTACCCCAGCTCCGACGGCGACGGCCCGCCCTGTAGATGTTGTAGGGCAGGCCCCATCTCGTTTTGTGGTTAGGGCGACCTATTTCGCCCTACTCCATTGTGGAGGCGTGTGGGTACACGCGCACACCTCCGGGGCCTTTGGATTGGGGGACTGCCTCCCTCAAGGCAGTCACCCCGGCCCCAGTGGGGGATAGAGGGGGGCGGAGTTGGGTACGCCCCCACCTCTAGGCCTGGCTCTTCTGCGGCGGAGGGAAGCGGGACGATCTGCGCCGCCTCCTTGCCGCCTCCTTCCGCGAGATAACTTCCTCGCAGAAGGAGCTCACCGCCAGCCACGATCTCTCGCTACTGATCATCCTCCGTAAATTCGGCAGCGAGAGATCGTGTGAGGACACGGCGCTCACTCTCGAACGCTGGACTTTCGTCCAGCGTGTGTTGCGCCGTGTCCTCCACACCTCCGCACTCGTGGCAGCCGGTCGTCGGTGACACAGATACCGCCCGAAGCACCCGTGCCCGGACAGTATCTGTGTCATGCGGTACGTGCCATCTTATTCATCCATCTTTTGAGGATGGGACGGAATCGACGGTTGCCGATGGAAGCCTTTCTCTCCACCTGAAGGATCCGGACACTTGTCCCCCATGGAAAAGCTTCAGTACCTCGCATGCCTGTGAGATGAAAATGCTGAGGCCGGCTATGGTCAGAATGTTGGCCAATAAAGGGGACACTTGTACAAAAGCTTCATACCACCGAGATGAAAATGCTGCGGTGGTCTAGTGGAGTCACGAGACTATTTGTTTTTTTTATTGGATTGTTTGGGCTATTGTCAGATGTGTATCACCTGTAGCACTGCGACCTACATAGATCTATTGTGCTCGCCCTTTTCAGAGTTCGCTACCTAGACCCGTCAGGGACAAGAATTGAAGGATATTCTTAGGAGCGATCGTTTTTATCTCCTCGGGAAAGAGTGTAAACTTTCCAAAGGAGATATTTCGTTTATGCATGAGTGGGCTACAACCACATAGGATGTGATGCGGCGTTTCCTCTTCAGTTTGGCAGAATCTGCAGATACTTGTCGTGCATAGGCCTAGTTTTGCCAGATGCTTGTTTAATTTGCAGTGTCCTGTGAGGGCCCTAGTCATCATGCATATGTTGTTTTTACTCAATAGCAGTAGTCTATTGGAGTATTTGGTCGAGAAGCCCGATATTAGGTCTTTTGAATGTGTTAATCCTGGCATTTCTTGCCAGTGATTCAGCTCGGCGGTGAGGCCGGCTATGTTGTACGGAGCAGAATGTTGGCCAATAAAGGGGACACTTGTACAACACCTCATACCACCGAGATGAAAATGCTGCAGTGGTCTGGTGGAGTCACGAGACTAGATAGGCTGCGAAATGAATACATCCCCGGCAGTTTCAAAGTGGTCCCAATAACGGAGAAACTTACCGAAAGCCTTCTCAGATGGTATGGCCATGTAATGCGTAGTGACAAGGATTACGTGGTCAAAAAAGGCTTAAAACTACCCGAATGCAAAAGAGGCAGAGGACGTCCTCCAGCCACCTGGTGGACCAGTATGAACAAGCTTGTCGCCGCAGAAAAATTGCCCGACCCGACTACCCAGGACAGGCCGACCCCCCATAAAGTGGGACAGAGCTAAGAGGAAGAAGAAAGTTTATCTAAAAATGCTCTTTTTAATTTTGATTTCAGTACTGGTCTACTTAAATTAGAATTTCGTTGTAACCCATCTAAATTGTTATAAGTTTTTGGAACCAAAAACCTCGTAGTTCTTTCCCCGTAATAATTGATAGCTCTCGGTTGAACAAATTTACTCTTCGTGTTATTTCTGGTATTATATATATTATTTTATTACAATTTTGTGTTCATTATTGCTATACTGCTCCAGAGCTATCAAATATTTAACCTTACTATGCACGGGTAGTATTTTACAATATTTCAATTAATTTTCATAATCACCGTTAAATATTACATTAATCTACTTGATTTTATTTTGAAATAGCGGTTTTGCCACATGAAATTTGTAGTCTATATGTTATTCTGATGTATAAGCTATATCACTGTAAAGTTTCATTAAAATCAGTTTAGTAGTTTTTGCGTGAAAGAGTAACAAACATCCATCCATGTGATCCATATGATTCCGACTATACAAGCTTTTGCGTTTACAATATTTTTTTTATTTTTGTCTTCATCATTACATAGTATAAAACAAAGTCGCTGTCACTGTCTGTCCCTATGTATGCTTAAATCTTTAAAACTACTCAACTGATTTTGAAGCGGAATTTTTTAAATAAATACAGGGTTTCTAGAGGAAGGTTCATATATGTATATATATAAAGGGCGCGTGGAATTATACTTTATTTTTCTAAAATATTTTGTTTTTCTAAAATAAAAGTAGCCTAAGTTACTCCTAATTACATCAGCTACCTGTAAAAAAAGTTCCGTCAAAATCGGTCCAACCATTTCAGAGATTACTCGGAACAAACAGACGGACAAAAATTGTAAAAAATGTTATTTTGGTGTCTATACCGTATATATATTCACATGCATGTAGTAAAAAACGATTATTTCAATATTACAAACAGACACTCTAATTTTATTTATATCTATAGATACATGTATACCCGTGTGAAGCCAAGGCGAGTAGTTAGTAATATATATAATCTCAATTTAAGTTAACAAATGTGTTTGATAGTCATATTTTCATCGTGCGAGGAATCGAACCCGCGATTATTCAAAGGTCATTAATAAAAGGGAATCTTACAGATGCTAATCCAGGATACAGGACCGAAGTAGTCGCAAATATAGTGTTCAGGATACTGCAGAATATAGTTTGTATCATTTTTATATAGTTATATGACAGACAGACCGACAATTTGACCGACAAGTGTACTCTACGAGATGTAGTTACGCACTACATATATACGCAGATCACTTCAAATACGTTATCAGCTCTTGATTGTATTAATAAATTGTATACAGTCTGCCATATATGTTCTTACAATTAACGTAAGAAATTAAATATCAAATTATTTAGTAACTACCTGTACCAGAGAATTTATTATTATTATTTTCTATTATTATTTATTATTATTCTCGGAACGGTGAGGTCGCTCCATGAAGACTGTGAAGATACCAGACTTCTGCTCTTTTGGGAGGAGCCTGGCAGGCATTTTGAGGTTATGTCTATCTAGATTAATATTATATATATATTATAGACGATTTGTTAGTTGATAGTTCGTTTTTGGAATTGCCACTTTAGATTGTTGCAATCAGTGGTTAAGTGCCATCTTCCAACTTATAAACTATGTTAGTAAATTACAATTTTATACATTTAATTCATATATTTATGTTTCTGTCTTTGTCCACGTCCAGAAGCCCTGGGTCCGCAGCAATGCAGCGATATCCAGTGCCCCTGAAGTGGACAATCCGACATATTGGATATGGTCTTTAGGTGGCTGTTTGTTTATTTAACTTTATTATTCTAAATTTAAAATAATCTAAAATAAAAGTAGCCTAAGTTACTCCTTATTGTATTAGCTACCTGCACATAAAAGTCCCGTCAAAATCCGTCCAGCCATTTTAGAGATTTGTCGGAACTAACGGAGAGACAGACAAAAATTGAAAAAAAATTGTTTCGGTACCTTATTTATTATTTTAATATTACAAACAGACAGTACAATTTTATTTATTTGTATAGATATTGATTGATGCACATAGTGGCGTAGCTACCTAGGGACTAGGCCGGGTAGTGCCCCGGGGCCCTCAAGTACAGGGGGCCCTGGAATCCTTACAAGAAAATCTCGATCTAACTGAAGTTTTCAAAATTTCTCCCATTTTTTAAATGAATATGACAGATTGCAACCCGATCTTAATCATGGCAACTCAGTTGAGAGAAATTCTAAAGTTGTACCTTCAGAATTCCCGTAAATTCTTTCTGTGGGTTGGCAGTGAGTTTTGTAGGCAGTTGACAATAATGGGGCCCCATTGTTTGATTTGCCCCAGGGCCCTTGGTTACCTAAAAATTCTCGTGTCACAATGTTAGTTACCATACTCCTCCCAAAAAATGGGGCCCCATTTTTTGATTTGCCTCAGGGCCCTTGGTTACCTAAAAATTCTCGTGTCACAATGTTAGTGACCATACTCCTCCCAAAAAATGGGGCCCCATTTTTTGATTTGCCTCAGGGCCCTTGGTTACCTAAAAATTCTCGTGTCACAATGTTAGTGATCATACTCCTCCCAAAAAATGGGGCGCCATTATTTGATTTGCCCCAGGACCCTTGGTTACCTAAAAATTCTCGTGTCACAATGTTAGTGACCATACTCCTCCCAAAAAATGGGGCCCCATTTTTTGATTTGCCCCAGGGCCCTTGGTTACCTAAAAATTCTCGTGTCACAATGTTAGTGACCATACTCCTCCCATAAAATGGGGCCCCATTTTTTGATTTGCCTCAGGGCCCTTGGTTACCTAAAAATTCTCGTGTCACAATGTTAGTTACCATACTCCTCCCAAAAAATGGGGCCCCATGTTTTGAATTGCCCCAGGGCCCTTGATTACCTAAAAATTCTCGTGTCACAATGTTAGTTACCATACTCCTCCCAAAAAATGGGGCCCCATTTTTTGATTTGCCCCAGGGCCCTTGGTTACCTAAAAATTCTCGTGTCACAATGTTAGTGACCCTACTCCTCCCAAAAAATGGGGCACCATTTTTTGATTTGCCTCAGGGCCCTTGGTTACCTAAAAATCTCGTGTCACAATGTTAGTGACCATACTCCTCCCAAAAAATGGGGCCCCATTTTTTGATTTGCCTCAGGGCCCTTGGTTACCTAAAAATTCTCGTGTCACAATGTTAGTGACCATACTCCTCCCAAAAAATGGGGCCCCATTTTTTGATTTGCCCCAGGGCCCTTGATTACCTAAAAATTCTCGTGTCACAATGTTAGTTACCATACTCCTCCCAATCGGCTTGACCGATTTTTATGAAATTTAACACGCATATTCGGTGCGTCTCAGTATTGGCTACTATATATTTTTCATACCCCTAAGTGATAAGGTTTGTCCACCCCTAACATAAAATTTTTATTTTTTGGGCAAATTTTTTATTTATATATTTTTATTATGTGTCATTAAAAAATACATACAACCCTAAATTTTCACCCTTCTATCACCAACCCCTATTTTTAACCCTGTGGTCTAGCGGTCTAGCACACCGCTTTACGACCGATGGTCGCGGGTTCGATTCCTCGCACGGTACAAACATTTGTATTCATGAGTATGATTGTTTGTATCGGTCCGGGTGTTTTCTATATATTTACAAAAAAAAAACCTATGTATTTGTATCAGTTATCTAGTACCCATAACATAAGCTTTAGCTAGCCTAACTTGGGTCTAGATGGCGCTGTGTGAATTGTCCTGAGATTATATATTGTAAGCGTACATAGGTAAAGTAGCAATAGTTTCTCTTGTTAGTAACATAGATGGCGCTACCTTAGCGCCCCACGTACCGTACTTTGTAGATAATAGTTATTTTTGGAATTTATATATTTGGATTATTGGGGCATAAAAAAACGAGTAGCGGTTGTTGTGTGAAGACATTGTCGGATAACATCACAGAAAGGATCATCACTAACCAAGGAAGCAGGTCAGTTTTACTTAATTTATTATGTTAAATAGGTTTTAATTGCTTGTTTACTATATACATTGTATGTATTCATTATGTACTGAGATTGTATACGTGTATGGAGAATAAACTTTATACGGAAAGTATGATTTTGGATTTCAATTATATCAACTACTTTCAATATATATATATTATATATAATATAACAACAATTGCCGGCACAGCTAGTACATATATATATATAATTAGTTCATAGTTGCGTGAACAACCTCGCCTGCTGACTGTTCACTGTCAATATATGTTTATTCAGCCTGAAATTAAACGTCATTGTGTGAAAGTATTAATAATTAAAACTTAGTACAAGAAATATTTTAAGACAAATAAATTTAAAGTTCAATAACTGGATACTTGCCACAAGCAAAGATGGTGTCCTCGAGACTACAGCGTGGGGTGTTATTATTATACAGGAAACTAACCTGGTGTTAATTTACTTGAATAACCCCACGCATTTTAGAGAGCTCGTTAGCCGTAATCGAAACTATCGGATATCCGATATAAAAAAATATCCCTAACCGTAACCGAATCCGAAATAAGAGTTTCGGACAATATCGGATAGCGGCGGAGCCTTATTGAGACACGTTATGTAACCATTTTATTAGCTTTTTGTATTTTTCTTTTGAAATTCCTTAAAAAATTAATATCCGTAACCGAAATTATCCGAAATTAACGGATAATCCGAAATAATGTAATATCCGTATCCGTATCCGCTATAATAATCATTACTATATCCGAAACCTATCCGTATCCGAAATTTCATATCCATAACATCACTGATTAACACGTTCATCGTACGATTTACAATAAGATACCAAAGGATATATTAAAATTACCCTTAAATAAATTCAAAACATCTGTTAAATCATATTTACTGAGCAAAGCCTATTACTCACTAAACGATTACTTGAATGACGAGCGTGCATGGCAATAGTTGTTCATGCACGGGATTTTCATTTAATGTTAG